GGGAGAGCGCCGCAACCACAGCTTCTCTCCGTAGAATTATTTGGCTCCCTCCGTCTTCCCCTCCGCCGCCCTCAAGGGGCTGCTGTCGAATGCCCGAGCCTCTGAATTTCCCCTTCCCCGTGTCTGGTCTGCCCGTGCGAATCTCTACGATCGGCCATCTGTGTTGGGTCTGGAATCGATGCTCTGACACGCCATGCATTATCATATCAGCCTGGCGCGTGAAAGAGCAGCTATCATGACGATGCTGTTGATGATGATGATGATGATGCGGATGTTGATGATGGTGATACTGATGATGGTGATGATGATGATGGTGACAATGGTGATGATGATGTTGATGATGATGACGGTGATACTGCTGGTGGTGATGATGAGTGTGATGCTGATGAGGATGATGATGATGGTGGTTGTGATGATGTTGATGATGATGATGACGATGACAATGATGATTATGATGATGGTGTTGATTGTGATGGTGATGGTGATTGTGATGGTGGTGGTGATGGTGGTGGTGATGGCGATGGTGATGCTGATGATGATGTGGGTGTGGACGTTGGTGATGGTGATGGTGACGGTGATGATCATGAGGATGCGGATGCGGATCATGATGAATATGAGGATGATGATGTCGATGAAGATGCTAAGGATGAGGATGCTGATGACGATGCTGACGAATAATACAAATGATGATGATAATGCTGGTTCTTATAGTGATGATGATGATGGTGGTGGGTATGGAGAGGGTGGTGGTGATGATGAGTATGATGATGATACTGGTGATGAGGATGATGATGTGAATGAACTTGATGAGGATGATGCTGATGAGCATGGTGGTGGTGACGATGATTATTTTGATGACGATCATGATGATGGCTATTACACTGAAGACGATGATGATGATGTTAATGGTGATGGAGATGATGGTGGTAATGATGTTGGTGATGGTGATGATCATGATGATGGTCATGGTGATGGTGATGATGATGGTAGTTGTTGTGGTGATGATGCTGGTGATGATGATACTGGTGATGATGACGCTGTCGATGATGCTGGTGATGGTGATGGTGATGATGACGTTGATGTTGATGATGGTGATGATGATGATGCTGATGATGCTGATGACGATGACGTTGACGATTACGACGATGATTACGATGACGATGCGGACTTGCGGAAGGCAGAGGCAGGGATGGGAGGAGGGAGGGAGGAAGAAGGAGTGAGGAACGCGGGGCGCTCTCTTTTCAAAATGTGGGCCCAACACCACAGGATGGTTGGGAACCGTCTTGCGAAGGCCTTACGGCCGGTGCCGCCGACCCTGAAAGGGGACGTCGACGACGACGGCGGCGGTGGCGGCGACGACGACGACGACGGTGACGTGGGCCCGAGTCGTCAGGGATGCTTCTTGGGGTCTCTTTGGATGACTCCTGGTGGCCTCTGGGGAGACGTTGCGGGGTCTCTTTGGAGCCTCTGGGGGTCTCTTGGGGGCCTTTTCGGGTGTCCTGGGAGCTTCTCGGGGTCTCTTGAGGACGTCTTGGCTCCTGGCAGCTTCTCGGGCCCGAGGGCTCGAAATGTCCGTTCGAGTTCCCCGTCAAGGCACGCTCTTGGAGCCGTCTTGGAGGCGTTTTGCGTTGTCTTGAGGTTCTCATGGGATGCTGTGGAGCGCTCTTGGAAGCCTCTTGGGCCGTCTTGGGGCGATCTTGAGGGCTTCGTCGGCCGTCTTTGAGCGGCGGGAAGCGGAAAAGGCGAGAACGCCCAAATCTGTTAGAACCCGAAGGAAAATCAATGTTGCTTGCCTCTTGTGGCCCTCTCGGGAGTGCCATTGGAGGCCTTTTGGGGCGTCTTGGAGACCTCCTGGGCAGTCTGGGAGCGTGGAGACGTGTTGGACCGATCGGGACCGTCTCGGGGGCCTCTTGGGGTACTCCTGGCTTGTTTTGGTACTTTTTGCAGCCCCGGGATCCCCAAGGGGGGATGCGTATCTGACACCCCCCACCCCAAGGGAGCCCCCCCGGGACCCCACCTCCCCCGACGGGGGAGGGATCAATCAAGGAGAGGGGGCTTCCCGTCGACTCGATTACGACATTGCGAGGTTTCTCTCGCTGACAGGCTTTGAGGAGGGTACAGGGAAAGGGGACGATGCAGACGACGACTGACGGAGACGACGACTCTAACAGACAAGCCCCTCGCACACGCCGACAGGGCCGTCGTATTTTGCAATGCGCTTTGGCAGGAGGCGGTTGGCCTGCACAGAAAGGACGACGTGAGGGCACCCCCACCGTCCCAGTCAGAAGCCGATGCAAAGCACTCACGGGGCGCCCGCGCACGGTCCAGATTTTGCCGCGATGTGTACTTTGCACTGTTTTTTGGCAGGGGTGGCCAGGGGGGCGCACGGTCCCAGGTTTGTTGTCACGGGTCGCGGTGTGGGGGAGGGGGAAACGTGTTGGTTCGTTCCCACCCGCCCTCCCAACACAGACATGGTACCCGAGTCTCAGCATGTTCAGCGGTCGTCTTTGGATGGACAGCTACTGGGAACCATTGCAGACCCCAGGTGCGCAACGATAGGGCGAGGTGCGAAAGCCACAAGCCTTGTCGAAAGCCAATGCAGAATCGCGGCGGAGTAGCCATCATGATGCTTGGTGGGCCTGCACGCAGCAGGCAATATGCCAGAACCCCGCCGTCCGTCCCTGTCAAAATCCAATGCAAAGTGATCGCGGGGTGCCCGCACATGATCCAGATTTAGCCGCGAAGTGCAGTTTTTTGTTTGACTAGGGTGGCGGACCTGCGCGCAGCAGAACATGTGCTGGCACCCTGGCCATCCCTTTCAGAAAGCTTTGCAAAGTGCTCACGGGCCTCCCGTACATGACCCAAGAGTTTGCCGCACAGTGCACCTTGTATTGTTTTTAACAGGGATGGCGGCGGGGGGGGCATTGACCCTGGTTTGTCGCCGGTCGGGTGGGGGAGGGTGTATATCAATCAGGAGCTGTGATAAACCCCTCCCCAAGGGAAGAGTCGGAGTTGGACGAGGCAGCTCTCTCAACCACCTCTGCCCAGAGGGCTGGTGGGATCCTGGCCAGAAAGCACCTCGGGCGAGCTCCGGGAATCGAGTCTGGAGCTCCAGACCCCGCTTCGGGGCAGGGATCAGCGGAGCTCGGACGGGTCTAGGACGAGTAGAAACCCGTTCCAGAGCGTACCCGAACGCTCTCAGAGCGGTCCAGAACGCTCTGAGAAGGCCCCATCGCCCGAGACATCCTCCAGAGCCGCCATATCTCAGAGATTCTCGATGTCTCCTCACCCGATCTTTCTCCTCGTCCTGGCGTCGTCTTAGTCACCCTTTGGTTTTGGGACTTGGGCCGTTCTCCGAGGACGTCTCGGGCAACTGGGGCCTCCACGGCCCCAGAACACATACCGTGCTGTGGCACAGCACCGGGTTGGGTATCCGAAGGAGGGGGAGCCAACGGTTCATCTGTAGAACGAGAGGCGAGCCTCAATTGCCTTTGGTGTGCACAGGTGCGAGCGAGAGGGAGGAGAAGTTGAAGGAGGAGGAGGAGGCGGACCAGTGTAAACCCAAGTCGCTTCAACGATGTTGCAATAACCCCTCCCTCCAAGTTCCCTCTTCATAGGCGCCTTCTAGACTTGGTTTCCATTGCGGGAACTTTTGCTGCTGTTGTTGTTGCTGCTGCTGTTCTTGCTACTGCTGCTGCTGTTCCTGCTGCTGCTGCTGTCTCTGCTGCTGTTGCTGCTGCTGTTGCTGCTGCTGCCTGCCCATCGAAGACAACCGCCTGAGAATCCTCAATCGTGCCAGAGCATCACTCATGGACTTCAACGCTGCGGATCAACGTGACTGTTGCGTCCTGAGAATCTCGAAGCGTGCCAGAAGCAAGCCCTGGGACTTCAACACTGCGTCCTGACAACATCGTACCCGAACGCGATGCCTGAGACGACAACCGTACGACTCCTTGAAATTGCTGTACACTTTTGAATTGAATGCGCGCGGTGCTAAGGCGAGAGCCACATGTTGAAAAGGAGCCGCCTTCCATTCTTGAAACTGCTGCAGATCTTTAAGGCGGATGTGCGCAGCGCTGGGGCGAGAGCCGCATTTTGAAAAGGACTGGCCCTCTATATCCTTGAAGATGTTGAGCACTTTTAAGCTGAACATGCGCGGCGCCAAGGCAGGAGCAACGATTTGGAAAAGGACCCGCCCTCCATCCTTGAAATTTCAGTCCAAGCCAAGCTTCAGGATCGTGTATGGTGAGGGGCTCTCAGGCGAAATGCCCGCCGGCCCGCCCTACCGCCACATCTTGGGGTGCGACGTGGAGGAGTTATTTTGAAAGGGAACAGGGATGGGGGAGGAAGGGGAGGAGGAAGAGGAAGGAGGCGGAACAGGAGGAGGAGGATAGACAAGGGAGAAGCGGGGGAGGAGAAAGAGGAGGAGGAGGAGGAGGAGGAGGAGGAGGAGGAGGAGGAGGAGGAGGAGGAGGAGGAGGGGGAGGGGAAGTAGCGAGGTGGCGCCCAGGGCGTGAGTGCCACGGAACCTCCTGCGCGAGCTGTCGATCTTGGGGCCCACGCAGATCCCAAACAATTCTCGCGGACGTCTGGAAGCTCATGTTTATGGTGCTTCTTGTCCCTCTTATGGAGGAGCGAGGAGCGAGGACGGATGAGGTAGGAGCTTGTCGCCGTCGCAGGGACCATTTCGATATGATCGATTGCGACCAGCCCGATCCGATTCGATCACGGTATTCTGACGAGCCGATGTAGCTTGATGTTTGCATGGCGCTGTCGAGTATCCTGGCGCGGCCGATCCGATTCGACCCCGACTCCGTGCCGGTGCGGCCCGATCCGACGCTCGTTCTGTTCCGACCCGCTTTCCCGATTCGATCCTGACAGATCCTGCCGTCGTCGCTGCCACCGCTCACGCCGGCGCCGTCGACGCCGCCCTCGCCGCTCGCCGCTGCCGCCGTCGCGGGCGCCGTCAGTCTGTCGCTTGGCGGAGAGACGCCCGGCAGGAGCTGCGGCGCGCGGTGGAGTTGTCGGCGCAGGAGGCGGAGCGGCGGAGTTCCCAGGAGGAGCGCGGGCCATTGGGGCTGGCCTCCTCGGCGCCCTCTCCCTCCTCTGCCGCTGCATCTGTGGCGCGTGGTTTATTAATCGCTTCGCTCATTCCGCCGGCCCATACAGTCTCATGTCTGCCGTTTGCCTGAGGGCCTGGTGTCAATGCGGCGCTTTGGGGGTTCCTGGGGCCGCTTGGGGGACTCCTGGGGCGCTCGGGGGGGCATTTGGGGGACTCTTGGGGGCCTCCTGAGGGCCCCGTGGGGGCCTCTTGGGGCCTCTTAGGGGCCTCGTAGGGGCTTCTTAGGGCCGAGGGCTCGAAATGTTGTTTCGTGTTCCCTCTCTGGGGCCCCTTTGGGGGCGTTCTTGGGGCCCTCTTGGACCGTTTTGGAGGCTTCTTGGGCCGTCTTCGAGCCCTCTTGGGCCATCTTGGGGCCCTCTTGGGTGCCTCTTGGGCCCTCTTGGGGCGATCTTGGGGGCCTCTTGGGCCGTCTTGGGGCGTCGGGAAGCCGAAAAGGTGGAAGCTCCAAAATCTCTCAAAAACCTATGGAAAAACAATGATTTTTGCCTCCGGGGGCCCTATTGGGAGTGCTCTTGGAGGCCTCTTGGGGCGTCTGGGGGCTATCTTGGGCGTCTTGGAGCGATCTTGTGGCATGTCGGACCCCTCGTGTACCATCTTGGGGGCCTCTTGGGGGCCTCTTGGCCTTTCTTGGGGCTCTCGGGGACGTCTCGGAGCCCTGTTGGTGCGCTCATGGAGCGCTCGGGGGGACCCGGCCGGGACCTGGTCGGGGTACTTTTCGTCCGGGGACCCCCAGGGGCCGCCCCGCGCGCGCGAACTAGAAAATTGTTAACCAGTTACCGGAGATCTTAGCACGCCTCTGGCCCGTTGGGCCGGCGAATTTTTGTCTTCACCCTTGAAGCTTGGCATCGCTCGGACGTGTGTGTTTTTCCTCGCCAAGAGCCATCAAGGAGCAACGTGGGTTATCTTGCAAAACGAATGCCACGCACGAAATCTAAAAATGCGAGGGGAATGTGCGTCCGAGAGGTTTGAACCATGCTGGCGATTCGCACACCTTGCGCCTTGTCGGCCCCGCCTGATCCGGCGGTTGCATCTGTGGCGCGCGGTTCTTCCCAACTATCCTGTGGTGTTGGGTCCTCGTTTTGAAGAGACAGCGCCCCGCGTTCCTCCTCTCCTCGTCTCCTCTCCTCTCCTCTCCTCTCCTCCCCCTCCTCCCCCTCCCTCCTCCCATCCCTGCCTCCCCCCGCCCAGTACAGCGCTTCGTGGCCCCATGGGGAGCTCCACCGAAGGTCCCAGCGGCGCAGTTCGCATGCTGTTCCGGCGCCCAGTACAGCGGGTCATGGCCCCAGAGGGGGCTCCACCGGAGGTCCCAATGGCGCAGTTCGTATGTGGCTCCTGCGCCCAGCACAGCGCTTCGTGGCCCCATATGGAGCTACACCAACGGTCCCAGTGACGGAACTCGCATGCGGTTCTTGCGCCCAGTGCAGCGTTGCGTGGCCCCATAGGGAGCTCCACCGAAGGTCCCAGTGGCGGAACTCTCCCTGCGCCCAGTGCAGCGCTTCGTGGCCCCATGCGGAGCTCCACCGAATGTCCCAGTGGCAGAACTCGCATGCGTGTCCCCCGCCTAGTACAGAGTTTCGTGGCCCAAGAGGGAGCTCCACGGAAGCTCTTTCTTTTCTTCTGAGGAGATTTGAACCATCTTGGCCTCCCAGATGTGGTCGGAACAAACGGGGTCGGAGGACCATGCCGGATTGCCGGTGCATCGGCGATGCGGCTCGATGTGTTGTCTGATTTTCTCCGCGCTGGTGTCGCCGATGCATCGCCGATGCATCGGCGATGCATTGGCGATGCATTGGCGATGCGGCGCGATCCTCCAACCCCACCCAGGAGGCCTCTAAACCATGCTGGCGATGCACACATCTTGCGGCTTTCAGCCCCGCCCAGTCCGGCGGGGCTGGCACAGCCGCGGGGAAGAGTCATGTTGGCGATTCACACACTTTGCGCTTTTCGGCCCGCTCGTTCCTGCGGGGCTGGCACAGCTGGGAAGAGCCAGTGCCGCTGTCGGACCTGTCAGGCTTCGGCTGTCGGGGGGAGTATGGCGGTAGTCGTGCCTGGCGGGGTGGTTGTTTTTTCATTCCTTTGGTGTGTTTGGCTATCTGCTTCCGAAATGTCTCGCCTATCGCTTCTCTCCTTCCTCCAGTCTTAGCCTCCCGCGTAGCGAAGTGATCAGTCAAGATTCCTCTCTCCTCGTCTTCTCTTCCTCCGTCTCTGCTTTTCTTCTCCTCTGCCTCCTCTCTCCCCCTCTCTGCTCCTCCACGCCACCTCGTCCTTCTCCTTCTCCCCCACAATTATTGAACATGAATACTACTCTCCTCTCTCCCCCAAGTATATACAGATAACGTATTGAGAGTAGCCGCCCCAGTCCGCGTACTTTTTCACAGATGTGTTGCGCGTTGTTTATATTTTTTGATTTGATCGGTTGTGTTCCTTCCACAATGGCGCTCCCCCTACATCATCGGTACTATTTCCGCGTTCCCAGTCTTTCCGAAATGGCGCCCCCGCTGTAGTTTTGGCCTGATATCCGCGTTCGCAGTCCTTCTCAATTGTGGTCTGGCTGTCGCGTTGACCTCAATATGTTCATCGTCACCTTTCAGAGTTCTGGTCCCGCTAGTCCGTTCCGCTGCAGCCGTGGCCTCGTCTCCACCGCTGTCGCCACCTTTGCCGTCTTCGTCGACGCCCTCGTCATCCCCTTCGCCGTCGTCGTCGTTGTGTTCCTTTTCCTCTCCTCCTGCTTCTTGCCTCCCCCTCGTCCGTCTTATGTATCTAATAATTTGTTTCCGTCCTGGTCATCTTGCCTCGTTCCTCCCATCCCGTGTCGTCCTCGTCGTTGTGTTCCGTTTTTGTTCGTTATAAGTCCTCCTTGTCGCACCCCGAGGCCAGTCGGCAAGGCGGGCCAAGCGTCTCCCTCGAGTTTTCTTCACCATTGTTTGCCCTGACATTTCAAACTTCGCAAGAGCTTCACGGATTGAAGACAGGTTGTTTTCAAATTGTGTTTCTCACAGTAGCGCCATTCGCATTCGTTGTAACAGACGTAAGATTTTCACGGATTGAAGACAGGTTGTTTTCAAATTGTAGTTATAGTTTCAGCGTTTGGCACATGTGTTTCAGATATTTGCAAGAGATTCACGGGCTCTCATGGTTGACGTATATGAACTGGTGTTTTGGAACGGTGTAGGACTGTCAGTGCGCAGCCGTGATTTTGGTTTCGCTGGTGCTAAGAGTGAATTCAGCGTGGATGTGCGTCTTCGTTTTTCATTTTTATTATCATTTTTCTGATTTGCGCACGTCAATCGATCATGTGGCTCGGGCGTTCGTGTGAATGCCGCGTGGCCAGCGAATTTCGAATGTCTTCCGTGCCCTTGATTCTTCCTCATCGTATTAATTTATCTTATTCCTCTTGCCTGCATGGTTTTTCTCTTTATTTCCCTCCCGCTGTCATCTTCTTTTGTCAGGGCCTGCGGCAGGATTCAACAGGGCGCCGGGAAAACTGCAAGTGAGCTCGAGGAGAGTCCAGCAGGTCCCGAGAAGGATTGCAAGCAGGCCCTAGGGTCCCAAGACAGGCTTTGTAGGGGTCCAAAACAACTTGCATACCTGTCTCCTCGCATGTGTTCTGGCGCGTTTCGGCCGTGGCCCGCGGGATTTTACTGATCATCCGCCTTTTTGCCTTCATTTCCGACGCCTCGCGTATTTCCGCCAGCCAAGGCAAGAGCAATCATCAGGCGAGTTGCCTCGATCAGCATGTGTAGCAGCATGCGGCGCCGCAGCGAACCGAATGCGCTCTCACTGGTTCTGTGCGGGAGGAGGAAGAGGAGGTGGAGGAAGCGAAGGAACAAATCTGGTGACGAAGGACCAGTAGTAACGAAAGAAGAGGAACAGCAAAAGGATGGGCGCGTGCTGGAGGAAACAGCAACATGCTAGAGCATGAGAAGGTCGGAAGGATGATGAGGGACCTGAGGGGGGGGGGGGGGAGGAGGGCTACGAGAAGCCAGGGGGAGGCAGACACCGCATTGGTGATCCGCGCAGAACACCAAGGAAGGATGGGGGAGAAAAATTCACGACGACGGCCAGAATCAATCATGGAGGATTTTGTTTGTTTTTCGCACACGGCTCTTGTTAGAAGCCCCTTGGGGTGATGTGTGGGCCATTGTGGAGCTAATTTGGAGCAATTTTGGGAGAGCCTACGGGGTCCTCTTGAGGCTGTTTCGGGCCTCATTGGGATCCTCTTCGGGGTCTCGTGGGCCCGTCTTGGAGGCCTCGGGGGCCCTCTCGGGGCCATCTTGGAAACGCCGTCAGTCAAAGAGTACGGCGGGAGGGTCCTTGCAGCGCCCCCTCTCTGGAGCCGCCCACGTCGCCTCTTGGCGCTCTCTTGGGACTTTCTTCGGCTGCTCTCGAGCGCTCTCGGCGCCGTCTTGGGGCCTGTCGGGTTCTTCTGGAGGGCCATCTCAGGCCAGCGTGGCCATCTCGATGCCTCAAGAGCCCATGGAAAACGAAACGGGCGACGAGACATAACACATAGCACGCAATGGTTTTCTTTTTTTTTGTCTTGGAGGCCTCCTTGGAGAGCTCGAAGGGCACGCGGGGCCGTCTTGAAGCGGTCTTGACGACTCTCGGAGGCATGTTGGAGGCTATTCGGAATCGTCCTGGGATGCATTGAGCGATATTGGAGGCGTCTCTGGGCTCCTTGCAGCCATCTCGGGTAATTTTGGGCCGCATTCGGCGCTCCAACGACCCGCTGCCGCCTTCCCGCGCACGAAGGATTGGGCGGGGAAATGGGGAACCGTGTCCATGAAGGGGAAGAGTGGGCTTGGATGAATTACTTCGTCACGCCGCTCACGCTTAAAGGGGTGGCGGGATTCCTGTCTCCCTCCGGCCCTCTCCTGCGGCGTGCCCCCCCCCCCCCCGCCCCCTGTGACTTCCCCCCCCCTCCTTCCAGGCCCCGCG